TATATATATATATATATATATATACACACACCTTAAAATTCTAATAGCTCTGTACTAGCAACAGAGCACTCTTTCAATGGCTTGTGTGACTTGTACATATATATAATCTAAGAACAACGAGGGATCTGTTGATCCATCTAGGCTGCCCCATCCACTAAACTAAACTTTAAAATGAAAATAAAACACTCAAAGCCAGTGCTTATAAAATATTTATCAAGCCTTCTCTTAAACTCCTTCAAATTAACTCCATCAACCAAATCTGAGGACAACCCATTCCAAAGGCCAATCACCATGTTAGAAAAATATAGCTGTTTTAGTTGAAGATGACTACTACTCTGCCAAAATTTATATTTGTGTCCCCTAGTCCTACAATTTTAACCATTAAGTATGAATGAAGATGGTGCATCAACATTATCAATCCTCTTAACAATCTTAAACACCTTAATCAGATCCCCTCTTGCTCTTCTTTTTTTTCAAGATAAAACAATTTCAGAAACCTTAACCTATACTTATATAATAATCTTTTCATCCAAGGTATCATTCTAGTAGCCCTCCTCTGAACCCTTTCAAACAATTCAAATGTTCTTCCCAAGGTAAGGAGCCAAAGATTGGGGTCAGTACTCCAAATGTGGCCTAACCAATCAGTTAAACAATTAAATTACAACCTCTTTAGATTTATATTCAACAGATATAACCTAAAATCCTATTTGCCTTGCCACTAAAAACAGCCTGGATGACTTAAGAGACAGATCAACTGGTACACCAAGATCATTTTCTTTCATGACATTGTTATAGTTACTCACATCAAAATTATACTCATAATATTTTTTCTTAAGTCATGCTGTTCAGGATGAGTAATATTGCTTAAATATACATTTGCAAAAATTGAAGAAAAATTATAATTTAGTAACCTAGCCATCTCATAATCATCAAAAATGAGCCTTCCTTCATAATCCCTCAAATGCCATCCAATGCCCTACTCCCATCCTAACATTTTGCTTACCCTTAATGTATGTAAATAAATTTAAATTTCTTAAAACATATACTGTTTTTTTATTTTATCTTACAGTGTGTGGGGGTATCTATAAACATAGTCTTCAGGTCAGTCAGACATGGCACATGTGTACAGCAAGAATTAGAAAGTTTTTATATTTAATCATTTCCAATCTATATAAAACTTGTGATCCAAATTATAATCCATATACATTACTTTGCACTTGCTATAATTAAAGATTATTTACCAAATATCTGTCCAACTTACCAATCAATTCAAGTCATTCTATAATACCTCATCATCTTCAATACAGAGAAAAATAATCAAGAGTTTAATAACATTCACAAAGTTTATTAATTTACTGATTATGCCCCTATTAATATCACTTATGTAAAAGAAAAAGCAGTCACCAGTAACAAGGGTCAATCTTGACTAGACTCCATTAAATTGATTAATAACTAGTTTTTGTTTTTTCTCATCCAACTGTACTACAATTAATTTCTTTACTAGCCTATCCAACAACAATCAATGTAATTTTAAAAAATTAATCTTTTATGTTGCACTTTATCAAAAGCTTTTTGAAATTCTAAGTTTACTAAGTCCATGCCCTTTACATCATCCAAATAACACATTTAATGAAAAAAAAAAGATTCCCAAGCTGACCAATTCTTCAGAAATAGTAATAATCTTTTCACTATAAAAAAAAAAAACTTATAAAACTTCTATAGAAAGCAAAGCTTCCAGCTCTGAAAAGATGTATCTAAAACTTTCAAGAAACTAGCAAGTCTTTTGACAATCCAATAATTGGAATATTGCCATTGTGAATTTTATTTTCCGAAAAGAAATTTAAAAGGCCAAGAGAGGAATTTATAAATTATACTTTACAGGCCTCATAGTTGGACTTTTGATGTTAGGATATTGTTGGAAACCACTGTCAACTTCAAAGTTAGCATTCAACAAAAAACCTCTTAATATAGTTTCAAAAAATAAATTTCTTTGACTTAATGATTTTTTTAATAAAGTTTCTGCACTTTTGGATAACAGTAGTTGTTGTACATCTGTATTTTTCAGATAGGTTTTGAGAAAATGACACATAATTGAAGACTTGTACTATCATAGTCAGGCTCAAGTTAAGGAATTGATGGACTTATATGGAGTTTTTGAAATTGTTAATGGCTTATACAAACTTGATACGAGTTAAATTTTTCTGTGTAACTTAATGATACAAGTGATGGAGAAATTAGCACTAGTTAGTATAGCACTTATTTTAAAAGCCCAATTTCATAACTGTTTCTTGCCAATAACACTATTTTCCACTTTAGATTACAACTTATGGGATGATTTGCCTCATGATGCGATATACTGCTTACTGCATAGGTATGTGGATGTAATAGGTTACATTTAGTTTGAATTTGTTATTTTGGTTGTTGTTTCTTTGGTGGTTGGAGGAAAGGACTATAAATATTATGGTCCAAATGACCTACCCATCATATGATCATCTTATGTTCTTATACTTGTATGTCAAAAGCATCCACTTATCTTTAAGCATAAGAGCATGCCACTGACTGTTTTATACTGTTTGGTCGAACAGAAAATTAAAAAATATTTACTAAAATTAAAAACAAAAAAATAACAAATACTTAAGCAGAGCAGAAGGGGTTTATGTATGACTTAAACTGCAAATTTAACTGTTGTCAATGATAGTAAGAATAAATTCAAAATAACCTACAGTATCAACTAGTATCAGTACTATACGAAGTGTTATTAATACTAAATAAAATTATAAACATAGACGTAGGAGCCTATTAGCTTAATTAACTTTTTATACATAATTTGATAATAAAACTATATAGAATACTATAAATTTAAATTCAAATTACAGTAAAAAAAAAAAACAGTGCGACTGAATTGCGTGATATTTCTTCATTTATACGTACATTTTGCCAACCCCCCAGCTCACCATCACACACACGTCATTACAATTTGCAGTCATACTAATATTTTATTTTATTTTTTGCTTCTTATGCCTATGATGTACAAATAATATAATAATGTGTATTACCTGTATTTGAGTAACTTGAGAAGATAACGAAAGTCGCGAAATAAAGGCACGAAAAATAGCCATATTGACCACTAGTAACACCAACTACTACAGTAACACGACCACTCTTAACAGTCTACTGTACTCAGTAAGACGGTGGACTAAGTAATGTAATACTAATAGTTACAGCGTACTGTAAATTAATTATGAATCAAATTTCCTCAGACGCTTTAGAATCAGTAAAAATAAAAAAACACACTAAATTATAAGTTATATGTATATATTAACCGAAATATTTAAAAAATGCTAGGAATTTTCTTTTCAATAAAATATATAACAAAAATCGCAATTACTCTTTCCGTTCCTAATCATTCACTTAATAATTAACCGATAACCTTTGCACATATAGGAAAGTCACTAGTATGTGTTTTACATTAGTACCGGGTGTTTAATGCGCAATGATGTATTCGATTATACCTCCTCTACCCCCACTTCCCCCCGTAATGTCTTTCTTCGAAAATTTATTTTGACACCCATGCAGTAAAGGCTTAAACATGACTCTACATACTCCTACTAGAATTAATTCCTTAATGGCAATTTAATGAAAATGCTTTAAACATGTAAAATTTTCTGGGTATATATACCTTAATTCTGAGGTGAAGTTTTAGGCCTTTATTGCGGGATTATGTGGATACGAATTATATTCTATGCTCCCAGTTTTTTGTAGTGTGCTTAGTGTTAACTGAGGTAAAATCCAAAGGCTGTAAATAAAAGTTTTATTTCTGCACATAATCAATCAAATTTTAGGAGCAAGAACATTATATTGTAACTTTCTGTACAAATAAAGGTATGACATACGGTGAATATATTTCATGTAATTGAGCTAAAAAACTTTTAACGAGTCGCATTTTTATTTTAGCTCAATGCGCGTCATCCATTTCGAAATGTGACGCTTTATATCGATAATATAGTTAGGGATCTTTTGCAAATTGGCAAAAAACTTGTAAATAAGAAATTTACAGTTCGAGGGTGTAAAAAAAAACTGCAAACACCACATTTTAAACTTTTTTCACACAATTCATTAATACATTTTACTGTAGAAACATAATATGTAATTACCAAATTAATTATTTTAGTATGTTTCAGTGCAAATTTTACGAAAATACGTTAAGAAATACACGAATATACAACGAATGTTTGGGTGAAATGATACTGGTACCGATATTTATTACTTTAATACTGCTATGAGATATTTTATTGTTGGGCGGGTTCTTTCGGATTTATTGGTGAAAACAAGAATACAAAATCCAGTCCACATAATGATAGCAAAAGCGTTTTATTTCTTCGATTACAAGTTCCAATATTTACAGTTTTCATGGTTTTACATAACTAATGAAATTATCTTCACAAATAAACAAGTCTAAATAGAAATTCTGCTTCTTTTCAAATTTCCATACCTCTTCTACTTTATCGCAGAGTAAAAATCCAAAATTTACTGTACTGAACCAACTGATAGCAACAAACAAAATGCCCAAATCATGCACTGATTACTCATTATCAGAAATCGCTCGCTAACTCTGATTTAACTCACTCTTTATATTTGGCTCAAACTGTTTAAGACTTTGGGTAAAATTCCCGTTGTTAAACCATATTCTCGTCATATGATGTCAGCTCTCTCACTTGCCAAACAACAATACAAACATGTGAATTAAAAACACAACCTACAACACTTCTCCCTTCCTGGATTGTGAAGTCCGATGAACAATCCTATTACAGAAAAAAATGGCTCATTAATCTTAAATTTCTGTAATGAACAGTAAAGTAACGTTTGACAGTTAAAAGCATTAATATTCATGATCTATGCATTACAATCATTGATCAAATGTTTTATTACTTCAAATAGTGATTGTAGTTTAAGTTTTACTACTTCCAATTGTGATTGTACTTTAACTTTTACTACTTCAAATTATGATTGTACTTTAAGTTTTACTTTTAAAGTACAATCACAATTTAAAGTAGTAAAACAAAATTTTCTTTATTTCCTCGTTTACTGTCTGTAAACTCTCCTGTCATTAACTCTTTTATATGATTTTCTTTTTTGTGGTTTATGGTATGAAGATGAGATGACAACTTTTTGTTTAGCATCACTTGTCATGGTGTCATTGGATGGGGGTGGGGAGTTCTTTTTAGGTAGATGGTCGACCCTGATAATACTCTGGAAGTGATTTCAACAGAAACCTCGAACTCTCTTACAGTTTCCCTTGTTTTTGGCAATGTCTTCTCTGAAATTAACCAGTTAGCTGTTCTCCTGCCAGTGTACCTCCAAAGATGATTATGATGGGTGACCTTTGGTTTAGACAACTTTATTCCCAGATTCTGCTCTGTTGTATTTTAGGTTTGGTGTCTTCATTGTATTTATTATCTTGTGCAGCTATCCTTTTTGTCAATGAAGTTCAGCCTCTGGTGGTGCAAGTTTTATGTTGAGCATAGGAATTTTGTGGTCATAAAGGGTGAAATGTTTGAAGCATGGCCACTCAACATCTATGTTTCAACATGAAGTCTACTCCCAATATGCATTCCCCCTTTATGAAAATTACCTACGCATCATGTTATGTATAAAACTTCCCACAATAAAGATAATTTCCATCCAACTGTGTCTTTGATAAAACTTTATAACTGTTTGCATTAATTTTTCTTCTTGCTTCATCTCTGGGCAATTTCTCAACGTTTGTTACCAGATTAGGTCAAACAATGGTAAATGTAGAACCAGAGTTGATCATCATGCTGTAAAACGTTTCATCAATGAATGTATTGACTCTTGGACTGACTTCTTTAAATAAGGTACTCCTTATCTCAGTTAGGACAGACAAACTATTTTCATATTCAAGATACCATCTCCTTGATTTATTATCAATAACTGACTCATCATTGTCTCAGGTGTAATGTTCATGTTTTCCACACTTATAGTAATTTCCTTTTCCTGTCATCCTTTGGGAGTAGTTTCTATTTCCTATAGGTTTTTGTCTGCAGTTTCTGACATTATGTCTCATTCTTGTAATTGAAACACTTTCTGTCCCCTGAACTATTTCTTCCATAGAAGTTTTACACTCAAAATCTTATAATAAGGCAGCCACTAAAGCCTGGTAGTTGTTACAACTCTCTTTGGGAATGTTGCTTAATCTTGTTAAAGCTGATCCTTTTAAGTTTGCAGCAAAATGAATAGTTTACTGTTCATTACTTTATCCATTTGTGGTATGCAGGCATACCATGTTTTTCTGCCATCTATAGTGATATGATTATTTTTCAAAATTACTGATAATTTAGCTTCCACACTGTCAAGGCAACAACATGTGGTCCAAGGTGTTTAATATTGTTACGTCTCCGTTCG